TGCAACACCCCCCCCCCCCTGCGCAAAGCCCGTTTCAACATCTTAACAAACGACTCAGCTTGGCCATTCGTCTCAGGATGATACGGTGCGGACCTTAGATGTCGAATACCATTCTGGCGCATAAACTCATCAAATACACCCGCGATGAACTGCGGACCATTATCAGAGACCAGGATCTCCGGCAACCCTTTATTAGCAAAGCGATGAACTGCGGACCATTATCAGAGACCAGGATCTCCGGCAACCCTTTATTAGCAAAGATCGTCCGCAGCTTCTCTACTGTGCCAAGCTCGGTCTGGCACAGGCCAGAGACCCGAAGCTCGACGCGGGTTATCAGCATCTGTCTGGCACGTGGCGCAACGCTTAACCAACTGCTCAATGTCTTTGTCCAACCCCGGCCACCACAACAGGCTACGAGCAAGACTCTTGGTCTTCACTCCAACCCCGGCCACCACAACAGGCTACGAGCAAGACTCTTGGTCTTCACGATGCCAAGGTGACTGACATGCAGTTCTTCCAAACACCGCTGCCTGAACCTCGGTGGAATCACCGCCCTCATTCCCCACATAACGCACCGTTGGACCAACAACAGCTCCGACAGCTCCGCTGCGCGTGACGTGAAAGGTTGAAATGCCGGTGTCGAAGGCAGATCGCTCCAATTCCCCGTAGAAATCGCCTGGACGACACGGGCAAGCACCGGATCACGAGCCGATTCCACCGCGACCTGCCTGGCCGTGACCGGCCCGCTTTGGACCTGGCCCAGCGCGAACACATCGACCCGGTCGCCCAACTCAGACGCAGCTGGACCCTCCGCACACGGCAAGCGTGAGAGCCCGTCGCAGTTAGCATGCTTCTCGGTGCTTCGGAACTGAATATCATAATCGTAAGCACCCAGAAACAGACACCACCGCTGTATTCGCGCGGCTGCTACCACCGGCACCCCGCGTTCGGGTCTCAGGATGAATTGAAGCGGTTTGTGATCCGTCTGCAAAGTGAAATGCCGCCCCAGCAGATATTGATGAAACCTCCGCACACCCCAGACGAGGCTGAGAGCCTCACGCTCAATCTGGGCATATCCGCGCTCTGCTGTGGACAGGGTCCGGGATGCAAAACAAACAGGCCGCTCGGAACCATCGTCCATCCTGTGGGAGAGCACTGCCCCGATGCCATATGCAGAGCTGTCGCATGCCAATAGGAGCGGACGCGCAGGCTCGTAGTGCACGAGGACCGTATCCTCTGTGAGCAGCCGCTTGACGCGGTCGAACGACGCCTGGTGTGCAGGCCCCCAAGCCCAGCGCTCGTCCTTCCTGAGCAACCGCGTTAACGGCGCAAGTTGTGAGCTGAGCCCGCGCACGAACCTTTGGTAATACTGGGCCATACCAATGAACGAGCGCAGCTGCGTCTTGTCGCGAGGCGGTGGCATGTGTTGAATCGCTTCCACCTTCCGAGGACCTTTCAACAGCCCCTCCGGCGTGATGATGTGCCCGAGGTATTCCAAGCGCTGCTTGAAGAACGCGCACTTGTCCCTGTTCAAGCGCAGGCCGCACGCTTCTAGCTTTGTCAGCACTTGGGCAATGTTCGCAAGATGCTCGTCCGCCGTTTTCCCCGCAATGAGCACATCGTCCAGGTAGGTCTGAGCGGGCAGGCCAATGCAAACCTGATCCATGGCTTTCTGCCACAAAGCTGGGGCCGAAGCAATCCCAAAACAGAGTCGGGTATATCGATAGAGTCCTTGACACGTGTTGATTGTCAAAAGCTCGCTACTCCCGGGATCCATCGGCAGGTGAAAATATGCATCACGCAGGTCTAGCTTCGTGAAGTATTGACTCCCCGCCAATCGCGCATATATTTCATCGATTGACGGCAGTGGATATTGCTCCACGCTGAGCCCCGGGTTAACCGTGGATTTGAAGTCCCCGCACAATCGGACGTCTCCATTCCGTTTCAGCACCGTGACAACCGGGGTGGCCCAATCCGAGCACGACACCCGTTCGATCACTCCACAGGCCTCCAGCCTATCCAGTTCACCCTTGACCTTGTCCCGCAGGGCATACGGCACCGGACGCGGTTTACAAAACCGAGGAACCACCCCCTCCTTCAAGAAGAGTTTCGCCTCCATGCCCTTGAGTTTCCCAAGGTCGTCGCTAAACAACCCTTGATGTCTTTGAAGAATCTCCTCCAACTGATCCTCCCACTGGCTCGGCACGGGTTGCACAAGGTGAACTGCGGCCCAGTCTAGCCTGATGCGGGCCAGCCAATCTCGGCCGAGGAGAGACGGTCCCCTCCCCCGCACGACGTACACCCGAAGCGTGGCGACCTGGCCTTGGTACCGCACAGACACGTCTGCCATCCCGACTGGCGTTATCTTCTCGCGGGTGTACGTGAACAGCGTGAGGTTTGACCTGATAAGCTTCAAGCCGTTGAGTCTACGCGCGGTCTGTTCGCCGATGAGCGACACCGCTGCTCC